CATCACGTGGAAATGTACAAGAACCAAATACTCTAAACTCACTATCCTCACGGGGTAGGGAGGCCCCCATCCAGCAGTGGATCGACGTATGGGCTCTCCACGCCCTTGCCTCTAACCACAGGGGTGCGATGCAGCGAGTGTGGTCGTCTTCATTGTTCACCCAGGGGAGCCTCACTGAGGCTCAAGACTACTTTGTAGGAGGGTCCTTCTTGTGGATGTTTGGTCAGTTTGTGTTATTTGGGTGTGTTTGCACGTGCGTGTGTGTGTGTTTGCGAGTACTCAAGGGGAGCGGTGGTGCAGTGGTTAGCACGCTGCGCTACGAACCTGGCTGCCCGAGTTAGATTGTTGCTCACGGACAACACCAGTGACGACTGTCTGAACCGGGTCTGGGCCTCCCCTAGGTCACCTCAGCCTCAAACGAGTACCTGGTGAGATGTAAATATCGCCGCTCGGGAGACAAAGGCGGCCGCGTGTGGTGCTGGCCACACCACCCCCTCGTGTGCCGTCCCGCGTCTTCATGGGGCCACTCTTTCACAGCGACTTGCCCCAAGAGCCTGGCGAGGCTAAACGAGGGACCTTTGTCTTTGTTGTGAAAATCCAAACCGATTTCACATATTTAGAAATCAATGGCTAGAAAGCGTCTTGGCTGACGCTCCTGAATGTTAATTCATTTCATTTTCTGGTGGTGACAGACACACTCGTTTGCTTATTTATTTTGTTACCTATTTGAAAATGTTTTAATCTCTTGCTTAATTCTCAAGTAATTTACAATTCTCACTCTCGCTTCTGAAGGGTCATCATCAACCTGTGTTGTGATCTTCTTCGCCCTGCTGGCGATCCCCCACCCCGCCCCCCGCCCTGCCTCTCACCTCTCCCTCCGCTCACTCCTCCTGCCCTGGGCCACCTCCACCACCACTCCTCCTGCCCTGGGCCACCTCCACCACCACCTCCACCACCTCCACCACCACCACTCCTCCTGCCCTGGGCCACCTCCACCACCACCTCCACCACCTCCACCACCACCACTCCTCCTGCCCTGGGCCACCTCCACCACCACCTCCACCACCTCCACCACCACCTCCACCACCACCACTCCTCCTGCCCTGGGCCACCTCCACCTCCACCACCTCCACCACCTCCACCACCACTCCTCCTGCCCTGGGCCACCTCCACCACCACCTCCACCACCACTCCACGGTCCCCCTCACCCTGCTGGCTCGTGGCTCTGAGCCGCCTCTGCCCACCCCTGGCCTCTCCACCTCAACCCTGGTGCCTCCACGTCCATCACATTTCTTTGGATGTTTTTGTTGTTCTCTCTTATAATGCGGTGGTAACAACGCCAGCGGTGATTTGTGTGTGTGTGGGGAGCGGTGGCGCAGTGGTTAGCGCACTGCGCTACAATACCACACAACAGTCCCGCTGCCCGGCCCCGTCCGAGAGGAAGGGGCTGGAGCCGTGCCTCTTGGCCCTTCTATGAAGGCACGCATGGCTATCCCGTGTCTGTGCGCGTGTGCAATTAGAACGACGTATTAATGCGTCTCTGCCGTCCGTGGCATTGAGTAAACACGAACAAATGTGCGTTTGTTTTAGCTGCTGACAGCGCAATTAGAACATTAATTAGCAACAACAACAAATATTTTCTAAATATACCGCGCGCTGAGCACGCGGATAGCGCAGTGCGCGTGGGCGAGCGCGGCTTCGTCTCCAAGGCACAACGAGACCCACGTGACGCGAAGGCAAAGATCGCCCCGCGATAGCCCTCAACAGACAGACCGCTGGGCACCTCTGAAGGCCGCACCACGGCACCACGAGGGGTGGTGGGTGGCCAGCACCGCGCCCCTCCTGCCGGCAGCCTTTGTCTCCCCCGCTGCTGATTTGTTTTGCTATTGGTTACGAAAGCCTACGTGTACGTAATTCTGGAGTTTGTCATTTCATTAATGTTTTGGCAGCAAAATAAATCCATATAATTAAATTGTTTACAGAGTTGAATTGACCCACAATAATCGCTATTTTATAAAAAAAAAAACAGCCGATACGATCATCGTGGATGCCATCTCGTGCGGCGTATCGTAGCATCGCGGAAGGACGCGCCTCTGTGCCTCCACGCTCGGCCACAGCGTGGGGACGCAGAGCCTTTAAACAAATCTGAATCAGAATATTTGTTTATACTGGAGGAATCCGATGAGCTATAAAGCTTTCTTCATATGGGTCCAGTAGAAGCCAACAAGCAATATCAGAGCTCCGGTCGCCCAGTTGAGCAGCGGTCGGCTCGTGGTCAGTGCACCGCGCAACGCTCCCGGCGACTCGAAATCGGTTCCCGGTCATGACCAAAAACAGAACCGGTCCTGGGCCTTTCAATGACTCAGCCTCAAGTGAGTAGCTTGTGTGGTGTGTGCACATCAGCATTGGGGAGACAAAGGCGGCCGGGCGGTTGTGCTAACCCCCCCCCCCTCAAGTGCTGTGCCAGGTGCCCGCTAACAGCACGTGCTCCAACAGTCTGTCAACGGCTATCTGGGGCCTCTTTGTCTGTGTCCCTGTGATTTGCTGTGCGCGTGGCTTCATGGAGTCGAAACTATTTTGAGAGTCCAGGTGGCGTAAACAATCATCGCTCTTTTCTCTCGGTGGGGAAACATTCGTGTCCCTGACTCCCACGTCCTTTCCCTTCCTCCTCGCAAACTTTCCTGCTTCAGTTCAGAGAGAGGGGGGGGGGGGTAAAGCGAAAGGTGCAGCCCTGAAACTGCCCGCGAACCCCACAGCTGGCTTGATGAGCCCCATCCAGAGGTGTAATTTGTGAGCTCCTCTTCCGTGCTGTGCAGACGTCTTTAAAGAATTCGAGAGTACCCACATTTGTGCCCCACCACACACGACCTGTAAATCGACTGTGGCGTTCCTGGGTGGAGGAAGGCGGTGGGGTGGATGGGGGTCGCGGAGGAGTTCCCTGCCCCTAAGCGGCCCCAGCGCACGGCCCAGAGCCTTCACCACCACCACCACCACTGCCACCACCACCACCGCCACCGCTACCACCACCGCCACCACCACTGCCGCCACCGCCACCACCGCCACCGCCACCACCGCCGCCACTGCCGCCACCGCCACCACCACCGCCACCACCACCGCCACCATACATGTGGGTGGAATCCCACATGTATGTATGTCCTTGACTATGAGGGCTAAGTCAAAACTCTGCACAGATGCCCCTTTGCATCAAAGCGAGTTTGTGCGGAGCTACAAGGTGACCGGGAGATGGCATGAAAAATGGATTCCAGAATGCACTGCTGTGTGATCTGCAATCCAGCTCCTAACCCAAGCCTATAAACACGCGGTGTTTACAGGCAGACTTCCATCCGAGCGCTAACCGGGCTCATGGGGAACAGACAGTCACTGCATTGCGCGCTTTCAGATGCACTTCTGCGGCCGTCTGGAACGCTCTTCTTTCGGATATTCGGAAGCCACTGGAGCTATGCACTTTTAAATCTAGATTGAAATATCTTTATTTAGAACTGCTTTTTGAGTTTAGTTTGGTGCCCTTCCCCCGAACCTCCGATTAGCACGGTTGGCTACGTACGGTGTATATGTAGGTCGTGGTATGGAACCCGTTAACTCGGAGGTGCTGGCTTAATGATACATAGGTGCCATGGTGGCGAGATGTTAACTACTTCGCCTGGTATACAGGTCGTGGGTTCAATCCCGACCCTGACGCATGTATATTTGGAACTTTCATGTCTCTCTCCCCGTGGTCGCATGGATTTTTCTCTGGGTCCTTTGGGTTTTCCCTTCACATTTAGAATCAACGTGCGTTTCGGCTATGGGGCCGCTATAAATTTCCACACGAGAAGCCACTTCATCGGGCTATCATTTGTGGCCAGGTCGCTTCTGACAAAAGAACTATACAGCTCAGTTTTTAGTTGTAGTTCATATGACCCAGGCACGCCGAGCCACCTCCTCGCACGCGAAGAACATTTCACAAATCTTATTCGACGGAACCTATTCCGGAACCGTCTTGACGACTGTGCTGACGAGGGAGACGGGGATGGAACGGATAGTCCCATTATCACCCCGGGGCCGCTCGCATCGGAACGTAATTAGACCTCCCCAAACACGCGGACGCCTCTTCCCCTTTTAGCCTGCAGAGTGTCGGGCGACTGTTGTAGGGGAGCTCCTGTTAACGCCTGCGCAGGCCCCCGGGGAGACGGCGGGTCACCATCACCCGCACCCCGCCCGCTGTTTGATTCTCTCCCTCTCTCGCTCCCTCTCTCTCGTGGGCCGATATTCGCACTCGGCACCGCACTATCATTCATTTCTTGTAACTTAGAAATCAATGTTTTGTTGTCGTTTCCACCCTCCATCTGCCCCCCACCACCCTCACCCCCAACCCCTCACAATTTGGCCTCGATCGTGGTATCGGTGTCGCGTCACGAGGCGAAGAATTCGCTCTGAAGTCTCGCAGAGCGGCGCGACCCTTCCTCGTGCAGAGGACGGTTCCACGGAAGTGGATGTCGCAGAGCTGCCTGCGAGACGCGCCTCCTCAGAGTGACCTCTACCCCACACACCAGTTGGGTGGCACTCTGCCGCCCGCTCTGCCACACGAGATCCATGGGAACTCGCACCGTGTAATCGCGGGGCGCCTGCCCTGGATTCAAACCCAGGATATCTCAATGGCGACGGCTCAGCGCTCTGACCTCTGGAGCCCGTAGCCGGACACCTTCACCGGGTTCTCGTTTTACGCTGAGCAAACCTCGGGGAGGGCCAGCCCAGATCTGGAAACCACTCGTACACTTCAATCCACGGTGGGCAAATGAAACCTCCCACTTAAAATCGCTGTGTGACCATCGCATTGCGTTGGCCACACTCCGAGCCTTCGTCCTCTCCTCCTCAATAGGTTCTCGCTCACAGCACTTGCCCCGGACAGGCGACACGTGGTAGGGGGTGTGTGTAGGGCGAACGGTTGCTCTCTCTCTCTCCCCCCGTGCTGCGGTGTTGTTTGCCGTCTCTCTCTCTAGGAGCGGCGTCGCTGGGAGAGATGGGGCCGGACCCCCCCGCGGGCTGCGAGGGCGTCTATCGCGGCATGGGCGCGTGCCTCCTCCGCTTCGGGGACCAGGTCAACCGGCTGTTCGAGCAGGGCGTGAAGACGTGGCCCGGAGAGCGCAGCGTCTGCACGTGCGGAGCGCACTGACAACCACCTCGCGCTACACACACACCTCCACAACAACAACAACCGCCATTCGTCACTAAGTGGCGGTGACGTCACCACGTGGCTTGTGCCAGGCTATGTGGACGTTGAGGCCACGTGAAGTGTCGAACGCCTGCCGGCAGAAGGTCACGGGGCAGACCCAGGTGCCACGGGACGACTGACTGAGATGACTGGCCAATGCACCACCTGTGCCCCCTACTGTGCCAACTTGCTGTGCTTTAGCCACTCGGCGCTCCGCTCGTTGTTGTGAGCGTCGCTCCTCTGCCCTCCGTTGTTGTTGGACGGCGACTGCCTCCAACTGCCCAGTAACGTCCTTCACGAGCCTCCTCCACTGAGGCCGATCTTGACACCGCTGGTACAGTCATCGGCAAGTCCACTCAGCTCCACATCCTCTTGTACCACATCACTCCATCTCTTCTCTAGCCCGTGCCGTGCCCGTTTAGCCCTCTCTATCCGGCCGAACAAAAGCTGTTTAGGCATGCGGTGGCTGGGCATACGAGCTACATGACCCAGCCAACGCAGCTCACTGACGGGACTTTGTCCAGATATTTCAAGCATTTGTGAGCTCCTCAAACAATCTAGCCTGGTTAAACCCAGGATGGATCGTAGGCAGGCCAACCTAAATGTTTATAAATGGCGAAGATGTCCAATTAGGAGGATCCACGTTTCGCAAGCGTAGAGAAGGGAGGGCTTTACGGTGGGCGAGAAGTTCAAGTTCAAGTTCATGTATTAGGTGTAGCCCTGTGAGCCATTCGGCTCTTGAATCGGGTGCAACCGCAACAAACAAAAAACATGAACAAAAAAAACATCTTAAAGTGAATATGTGACTGAGTGCAAACAGAAAATCCAAGAAAAGACAGCAAAATATTTCAGAAAAAAACACCGTACACCAACACTGTGTGCAGAAATCCCAGTGGGATGCAAGTCAAACAACCAACAACAACCACAGGACAACTTCGATTAAAGCCATCAGTCTAACTCTGTACTACAACAAACAAACATGGCTAAACCAATACACTTTTCTAAATCACCAAAATAAAGTCATGAAAGCAATGAAACAGTGATTATAGGAACTGTGACGGAATTTTCACAATAAATGCCATAAACAACATGTACTACCAAAACCCTGCAGCCATAGCTGGCTGCATGAGTCACTCCACAACAGCAGGAGCATCAATCGGAGTATTATAATTTTTCAATGCACCTTTAAGATCAGCACACTAAATCAAAACACAGGTCATACTTTGTAGGGTGGCCAGCACCACGCCCGGCCGCCTTTGTCTCCCCATCGCTGATTTTTACACACCGCACTAGGTACTCATTGGAGGCTGAGTCGACCTAGGGGGGTCCCAGGACCGGTTCAGATAATTAGGAAATCGAACTCGGGTCGCCGGGTTCGTAGCGCAGTGCGCTAACCGCTACACTATACCACTCTTACCCACACGCGCGCATCGTACATTTATCACGTGGTCCCCTCTGGAGCTTTGGGCCTTGGGAACAAATATTCCATTTGTCCCACCCCCCCCCCCCCATTAAACCAGCACTGCTGGAGATCACCCAGCCCCAAGGCTCGAAGCCAGCGCTAACCGCTACACCATGGCTCCACACACACACAACACACGCAACACACACACAACACACGCTACACACACAACACACACAACACACGCAACACACACAACACACGCTACACACACAACACACACAACACACACACAACACACGCTACACACACAACACACACAACACACACTACACACAGACAACACACACTACACACAGACAACACACACTACACATACAACACACTACACAGAACACACACAACACACGCGCATACAAAGTGCTCGCCCGCAAATGAACCACGATACCGTCCGTAGCTTTGCTGATCGCCGCCAAGGAGCCATAAGCCACCAGTCACGGGACTCGACTCATTGTCCTCGCAGCAGCAGCGGTGGTGGTGGTGGCGGCTTTTGGTTGCGAACCGTCGAACAAAGACGGCGGTCACCGCTGCGTCGCGCACCGCTTTCAAATGCGCTTCTAGGGCCGTCTGGAACGCTCTTCCCTCCGATATTCGGACGCCACTGGAGCTGTGCAATTTTAACGCATCATCTCGATTGACCAACTCATTTCTTTGGAACTGATTTTTGTGTTTAGTTTGTTGTCCTTTCCCCGCACCTCCGATTAGCACGGGTTGGTACGTCCAGTGCAAAATAACTTCAACAGACACACGTACAAATCCAACAACAGACAGAGATGCCCCGCATTGCATTAAGCAGACTGCTTGGGGGCAAGCGCCGTTGAGCGACCGGCACCGAAATGAAGGCCGGCACGGCACACGAGGCCGGTGGGTGGCCAACATCGCACCAGTGAGCTAATTTGAGGCTGAGTCGACCTAGGCGAGCGCTTGCGCTAATCGTGCATTCGCGAGCAAGCGGAGTGAGGCCTACAGATTGCTGCGCACAAGGCACCTGAGAGGCGCTGACCCATAGCCCCGACACAGCCACGCGACGAGCCTCCTGAGAGAGGCGGTACCCAGGGCTTGAACCCATGAGGCAACCCATCAGTGCTGCCGTAGTTGCCCCGACATGGCCATTCAGAGTTGGCCGAGAGACGAGCAGTCCCCTCCCAGGGCTCGTGGTTAGCTCGTGGACGCTGCCGTGCTGCGATGGCGAGCACCGGGCCTGTCAGCCACAGGTCGCCAGTTCAATCTCCCGGCCCCGCAGCTGGAACAGTGGGTATCTGTTTTTGTTTTGTTCCCCCTCCCCCCACCCCCCTTCTCTCTGTCCGCCCAGGAGTAGAAATTGGTGCACCACGGCCAGGCGATTGGCAGGCCGTGTATGGTCAGGTAAAGTGTGGGCAATCCCAACTATTCCAGGGCATCTTGTCAATGTGGACGAGCAGTAGGCCAACATCTCTAACACTCTCTACAGTGGAAGTCCTTCCGCCAGCAGTGACGCGGGCAGGACATTGCAGGGCTGCGCCTTTAACTGCGGTGGCGAGATGTTAACTACCTCGCCTGGTATACAGGAGGTCATGGGGTCGATCCCGATCCTGACGCCTGCTGCTGTATATTTGGAGTGTACGTGTTTCTCTCCCCGTGGTTGCGTGGATTTTTCTCCGGGTCCTCCGGGTTTTCCCCTCCACATTTAGAATCGACATCACCACGCGTTTAGAGTATTTGACTGCTAGACACGTGATGATAAGCCCACTTCGTTGAACCGCTATCATTTGTGAGAGCCACGTCGCTTCTGAAAAACAAAGTGCTTACACAGTATAGCGCAGTGGGCCTTACCTGGTACGAAAAAAGTGAGTTATGTTTGGTTTTAACCAGTGCTGGTAGCCAGCCTTGGCTCAGCGTTCTGGCCACGGGCATCAAGCACGTACGGCCTGGGTCACCCCTTGTCGCCTGCAGGCTTCGGGGTTTGCGGCACCGCTTCCATTGTCCGTCGCCCCCCCCCGCACCGGGGGGGGGGGGGTCAGGGCGAGCTACTGACGAGGCCTCGCCCGAGCCGAGTACCCCAGTGACGTGGTAACGACATCATCAGCTCAGTGGGTGGTGGTGGTGGTGGTCGTGGTGGTGGTGGTCGTGGTGGTGGTCGTGGTCGTGGTGGTCGTGGTCGTGGTGCTGGTGGTGGTGGTGGTCGTGGTGCTGGTGCTGATTTAATATCGCGGCTCCTCTTGACATCGTCGTGACGCTCACCGGTCTCGAACATTGAACGCTGCAGGGCGCTCCGCCTTCGCAAAATGCAGCCACCACAGCTCCGTGGCAGTTACCTCTTTGCGACATTACGTAACCGCTCTAATTAAATACAAATAAAACGTGGAAATTGGACGAAAGCATTTTAATGCAAAATACATTTAAACCGCGTTTTAACTAATTGTCGTTCTTTTGTGCTGTTGTTGAAAACAAATCTCATGGTGGTTGCCAAGGGCCCCCCCCCCCCAACTCGTAGCTTTGGTCACCAGGGGGGGGGGGTAAAGGCACCCCGTGCTCCCACGCTCGTTCCGCGACTGCGAGCATTGCTTGGAATGCCCCCCCCCCGTCCCTTTCCAAATGAACACGGAGAGAGGCTGCTCGTGAATAAGTAACCGAAGGGCGTTCCGAGGTGCAGGGTCGTCTTGCGACGGGAAATGAACGAAGCAACGTTACTGGCGGCAAGATTCAAAGCCTGCGGTCCGCTCCTTACGTATGCAGCGCGCGCGCGTTCGGGGTGGCGGTTGAGAAATTAGGAAATGCATTTTTAAAACGCACCCGCCACCCAACGCGTGTTCCGCCCGGGCTGAAAGCTTCAAACGCTCGGCGATTGGGAGCGGTGGTGACGAGCCCCCCCCCCCCCCCCCACTTTGTGCGCGAGTTGTTACTTCGAGACCCGGTGCGGAGAGACAGGAGAGCCGCGGGGTGAGCATCGGGAATGATTGCTCGAGGGCCCACTTAGTGAAGATGGTGCGACGTGGAGTACAGGTTCAAGGATGTCCTGGTGGAGATCATCTCAAAGGGGGTGGGGGGGGGGTGTCATCACGTACCGGCGTCTAAGCGAGTCGATTCGAGACGCGTGGATTTTTCTCCGGGTCCTCCTCCGGATTTTCCCTCCACATTTAGTGTTTGGCTGTTTTACATTTCCACGCGATGAGTAACTTCGTTGAGATATCACTTGTGGCCAGGTCGCATCTGACAAAGAGCCGTATAGCTCAGTGGACCTTACCCAGTAAAATAAAAATAAAAATATTTGGTTTTCAGACACTACCAGAGACAGAAGTCAGTTGTCTGTAGACCACATTATACAGAGAGCATGGCCCATTGATAATAATATAATCATCAGTGGGTGTGTTTTATTCAGCAGCGGCGTTTATGCCACCTGCACCTCACAACTCTGCACGGTCCTCAACACGTGGAGATTGCGGTGTTAACACTCAGCCAATTACGGGACGGGGGCCGCACGGTATCCCACTTGTCTGTGCCGCC